ATATAAAACTTTACCCTTGAAAAATATATATTTAATCTCGATGAGATCTACCTGGTTGAATAGAGGTTGAATAAAAACATAAATCAAAAATCCAACTTTGCTCAGTGAAAATATTCACATTAATACATGCAGCATGACTTCCTCACTGACTAGAAGAAAAATGGATTTCTATCTGAAACTGGCTCCAGTAAATTAATTGGACCTCATCTGATATAATTTAGGTTAAAGGGTTGTGGGTCAGGTGTTTTATTGACAGGTATTTAAATTTAAGTCTAAACTTTGGGTTGAAATCCCAAACAAACTGATGCATCTGAAGATGATCTTTCAGAACGAAGAGTAAACTCTGGGAGTGTCTGCCTGTGTGTGTTACAGGTGTTTGCAGAGGACTGCTCTGATCCCTGTCTTCTAGACCTCCAAAACCATATTCCCAAGTATTACGGCACATGGTCTTCACCTGACAACCCCAACGGTAAGAGACCAAAACTATATTTGTCTTTGTTTTACAGGGGTAGAATTTAACCCTACATTGTCATGATTATAAAATAATGTAGTAACACTAGCTGCTTTTCCATTGACCATGAAAATGAGCAAATTAGAATTTCGAGAATAAATTTGCTCAATGGAAACACATCAATTTCGAGAAAAATTACGTTTTTCGACAAAATATTTTTGCACTAGGATGAGTTGGTATTTCGGCCATATCTAAATTGGTGTTTTTCACAAAACTGCAATGGAAACACTTTTTTCACATCAAGGGAGTCACGTGAACAACAACCGGCTGTTTCTACTGGTGAAAAAGACGATGAAGAAGATAACAGGAAGTAAAAGTAGTAGTAATATCACAGAAGTAGTAAAATAAAGTAGTAAACTCACCGACTACAAAAACACAGCATACGTAGTCGCTCCCAAGTATAAGGGGCTTGTCTCTGGAAAGCCTCGATAAAAGACGCCGACGTCTCCTCTGATGATGAGCGCTAGTGTCGTGGTAGCAACATGCTATGTGTTTACATCCATCGCTGCCATGTTTGTAATGACTTATCATGAGAACAAACGTATTCACGTGACTTTAATAGCATTTCTTACTTAATGGAAACACTGCAGTTGTGAAACTTTTTTCGACATTAACAGAATATCAACAAAGTTTTGTGCACATTTGCAATGAAAACACAGCTAAGAAAAACGATGTGTCTCTACTATTTTTTATATTCATAAAGTTGTGACAAACTTGACAAGAGGAACAAACAACAGAAATGACTCAGGAGGCTACATCACTGTCTGTGCTGTAAATACATTTTTACGTAGCTCTGGTGCAACAGCTTTTTTTTTTTTTTCTTTTTTTTTTCAAGGAAGACCCGACCTGTGAAGCCGGGGCAGGGTTACCTTTATAATGTCACAAAACCCCTGTGCTCGGCTCAGTCCTCTCCTCTGCTGTGCCTCACACACTTACAGCCTCAGCAGATCCATTAAGCCTTGAGGGCCCAGATTAGAAACAGCCATTTAAATGTGGTAAATAAATTATTTACAGTGATTGAGATGAAGGTTTTTCATTTAGTTCTTCTGAAGTGTTACAAGGACAATGATTATTAGAAACTGGGCATGATTTGAGGATTTTACTGATAATATGTGACCCATCATATCGAAATGAGGATTAAGTCAAATTTTGTCAAAATGATCTAATTACATTTTCAGATTCCTGCTTTAAAAGCTACATTTTGATACCTGGATCATTCTGATATCATAAGCCAGGGGTTCTCAAGCCATTTGGGTCTGGGGACCCCTTACAAGAGCGAAAGAAATTCCAGGGACCCCCTCAAATAAACCCATGCTGTTTCAAAAGATAATTGTCATTTCAACCCATAAATGCCATAGAAATATATATTATAATTAAGTTTATTATGTTTGTTTTATTAGTTCATTGTTCTCCATACATTTTTAAAACTAAAAACCAAATTAATATTTTAGTAAAAAAAATTTGAGGACCCCCAAGATACCTCTCGCGGACCCCTAGGGGTCCAATGACCCCAGTTTGAGAACCTCTGTCCATCCAGAGATGGGACTTAATTTGTCTTGTTGGTTATGATCATGCATTACTGTTTAGTCTGAATCCTAATTTTACATACATTTATTGAGTAATTTTTGATGTTAATATAAAGAGTAAACCTCAAATATTATTTGTAAATTAAGATTTCCCAGTTATAAAAACATTGCTAGCTCACAGGGAAAAATTCTAAATTTTAAGGTATTTTTCCTCAAAAACATTTTCTGTTGCTACTGCTAAAAAAATGCTTCAAAAATTTTGTGATTATTTCAGACAGTTCATTCAAATGATACATTTATAATGCATTAATTCATTATATTTTGACAAAATACAATTTTTGCACACCTTTAAATCAAAACCCTATATCTGCCTGTTTCTCCACATTCCACTTTTGGACTTAATCCTCATTTGGATGTGATGCGTCACATATTTGCTCTGACATGTTACAGGTAACACGTAAGAAACAGGTTTATTTTGAATAAACATTACAAACATGATCATTTGTACAAAACTGTCAAATATATTTACAAAATACACTAAATAAACTGTAGTGTCCTGGCTGGAGATGCAGACACTGATGCGGTTCAGGAGCTCATCAAACTGAGCTCGGGACAAAACCAGTGCTGAAAGCGAGCCTCGTCAGCTCACAGCTCCTGGAGTCACCAGCATCTCACCAAACTCAGAACGCCTCTGAGTTCTCTGGTGAATCCAGACACGGCGCCCGGCGGTGCCGTGTCTGCATCAGAGACGATGTAAGAAGCTAATGTTCGCTTGTTCAGTCGTTTAAGTCCTGCGTACAACTAGCTCAGAGAACCAGTCAGTGGTCTGCTGGTGTCACAAGTCGGCCCACATGAAACCCCGGGTCTCTGGGTTCCAAAAACCGACCTGGAAGTGGGCTCAATGCAGAGCTTCAGAACCTGGGTCACAAACCTCAGCAGCCCAAGCCGGGCTAGACCAGACCTTACAAGGTCCAATTTGTGTTTTAAAAAAATCAACAGACCAACAGATAAATAAATCAAATAGTCTGTGTAGTTTGTGAAAAACTGTGACTTTACAAGTGTTAAAAGGTTTGAGCGTTGTTCATCACAGCCGTCTAACACCACAAACACTGACACTACCCTCCACCACAGAGGGAACTCCAAGGGCTTCCAAAGGAAATTACTTTGACAGAGTATAGAAAAATGTTATTCAAACAAAGAAAATAAGTTAACCACATTATATAATACGGACTTAATGGTCCAAACAATGGTCATCACCATTTATATTACAATACAATAAATATTACATTTCTTCTTGGTTTATTTTCACTTTTTTTTTTTTTAGCACTAACAGGTTTGTTCCCATCATCTTTAAGGCTTTTAGTCATGCAGTCATAAACTACCATCTGAGCTTAAAATAAAATGTCTTCAATCTGAAACAGAAAATTCTTTAAGAATTACAAACTGCTGTTCTCTTCAGTCCACAAGGACCTGCACTGGTGTTTTAAAACTCAGTTTATATTTTTATAAACTAAACAAAACTAAAAAGTGTAATGAGATACAATGTTAAAATTATTTCCAAAGCACTTAAAGTGTATCTTACCCCCTGTGAAAAGATAACTCCGCCCCAAGGCAAAATTTGAAAAATGCATCAAAGTGGGTGGGGAAGGAGGGGTAGAGAGCGGAGGTGTGGCCAGGATGAGAGAACGTGACAGGCAGCTAGCATTAGCATAATTGATGCTACATGGAGAGTGACCACAGTATCGCGGATACCGGTAGTTACATCTCTAAACGGTCTGAAGTGGAGGATTTTTTTCACCCCCCTCCTCACCAGAGGCAGAGAGAGACTTGATCAAGTCAGCTCAGTCTGGGACTGACTCATGTTGGCTCCCTGGGTCAGGACCTTGAGCTCCAGCAGCCTCGGCTGAGCTGTCCGCC